TGTGGGGGCGATATGCTGACTCTGTAAACCGCTTAGAGAGGGCTGAAAGCCCTATGAAGCGGTATATAAGTCTAACTGCTAACTGCTATTAAAAAACCGGTTTATTGTCTGCAACTTCCTGTACCTTTTGCAAGAATATTTCGTGTGGGATGCATTACATTTTTATGTTTTGCTTACTCTAAAGTGCGTCACGGGTTAACGTCGCGGCTTAAAGTATTCGGTTAAAAGCCCTTGACGATTAAAGCGAAAGATATACGTTGCCAAATTATTCCAAACAAACCTGTTAGAATTTAACGAATTCGGTCCCTCCATTCAAAATATGTACTTTTTGAGGAAGCCACTAACGTCTAAAGAAATCCCTCAGCGGCGAAATAAATATTTTTTTTCTGGGGCATTTCTGAATCGAATTGGATAAAAACAGTTCTCTTGCGTAACTTACCTCCTCTAGCTGTAAGAATAACTAGGACATGGTGTTGTTTGTCTAAGCGTCCAATTGTTAACCCTACCAATTAAAACTTCGTTCACTTTTTCAAGCCTAGGATCTTATTGAGGTAAGAAGTCCTTTGACGCCAGAAAATACAAAAAGTAAAATTGGGGATCACAGGAAAAAGTAAGGTTGTCAGGGCATCCAGACTGTGAATCATATCTATTTGATTAGACTAGAAAAGGGACATTAAAAGAGAATAATAAGTCACAGCGGGACTTCCGGATATTTCTGCCCTCAGGGCCGTTGCGAAGGTAAAGGTACCGAATTTCCTCCAGAGCAGAGGATCTCAAACGGAGGCTCATCCCTTGTTGTTGAAACAGCTTTTTATGGAAAGTACAAGGAGTCCTTGAGTTACAACCGTAGGGGAGGCCTGCCCATTACGGCCGTAAAACGAACCGTGTAGGTCGTAAATCGAATTGCCCAGATGGCAATTTTATGCCCTTTTTTGTGGCTGTTGTTCAGGCTGTTTGTAAAACAATCACTGCAGTTGTCAGGTGAAGAAGTCATGATTCAGGATGGGTCAGTTTTGCCGAAAACTGACAATTTTGTGTTTGGGTGAAACTCGTATAAACCCTGTCAGGTGATTGTAGGACACTGCAAATGCTTGTAAATGTAAATGTTCCTGAATTTTATTTTATTTTATTATTATTTTATTATTTATGTATTTTATTTATTTTATTTTATTATTTATTTATTTTATTATTTTATTTTATATTTTATATTTATTTTATTTATTTATTTTATTTATTTTATTTATTTTATTTATTCTATTTATTTTATTTATTTTATTTATTTTATTTATTTTATTTATTTTATTTATTTTATTATTTATTTATTTTATTATTTTATATTTTATATTATTTTATATTTATATTTATTTTATATTTTTATTTTTATTTTATATTTTTATTTTTTTATTATTTTATTTTATTATTTTGTTTTATTATTTTATTATTTTATATTTTATATTATTTTATATTTTATATTTTATATTTTTTATTTTTATTTTTATTTTATTTTTTATATTTTTATATTTTTATATTTTTATTATTTTATTTTATTATTTTGTTTTATTATTTTATTATTTTATTTTATTTTTTAAGAAAATTTATATTGCCACCATGGCGACTCCAGGCAGCTTACACAGATATAAAACCGATATAAATGAAATAAAAAGAATAAAAAAGAAAAATAATAAAATAATGCCCTACCCTGGCGACAACACACATTCATACAAACCATTTAATGGGCTCTATCCCACTTTGGGTTCCCCAGGCCCGCTGGCAGAGCCAGGTCTTCAGCGCCTTCTGGAAGTGTGTCAGAGTGGGGGCCGTTCTAATCTCTGAGGGAATGATGTTCCAGAGGGAGGGAGCCACCACGGAGAAGGCCCTTCTTCTGGGTCCCACCTTGAGGGGGGGGGGACAGGACCCGCAACATTCCTTGCCTCCCTGCTCTAGTGGGTCAGGTAGATGTGACTGGCAAAAGACAGTCCCTCACATGCCCAAAATATGATCAGGTGATCTTGGGGTGGGGACAGCCATCAAAAGTTCGAATCTGGGTCGTATGTACCCCTGAAGAAATCCATTGTAACTTCAAACATTCACTAAGCGATTGGCCATAAGTAAAGGTCTAGCTGTATTGACTTTCTATACACACAATTGAGTCCAAAATTTCTGTTGCTGAGACAGCTGTTAAGTGAGTTTTGCCCCATTTTATGACCTTCTGGGCCACAGTGGTTAAGTGAATCAATGAAATTGCTAAGTTAGTAACAGGGTTACGGAACAAATCTGGCTTCCCCATTGACTTTGCTTGTCAAAAGTGCACGAAATACAATCGCGTGACTCCGGGACCTTGCAACCATCGTAAGCACATGCCAGTTGCCAAATGTTTGAAGTTTGATCATGTGACCTCGGGAAACTGCAAGTGTCATAAATATGAGCCCATTGCCAATGGTTACAAATGGTGGCCCAGGGGATGTGGCAACGGCCGTAAGTGTGTAAAACGGCCACGAGCAGAGGTGATTCGGACTGGTTCTGGTGAACCGGTAGCGGAAATTTTGAGTAGTTTGGAGAAACAGCAAATATCACCTCTGGCTGGCCCCGCCCTTCCCTGTCCTATATTCCCTTGTTTTTTAGCTCAACTGATTTACGCGGGAGAGCTGAGCTAAACAACAGCTCACCTCACCAGCGCTGACACCGAGGGCGGCCTTTGAGTGCTTTGGGCGCACCAGAGGTGGGTTCCTGTCAGTTCTAACCATCTAAATCTACAGTGCCGTTTAGAACCGGTTCCAACTCCCTCCCCCGCCTCTGATGAAGAGCGAGAAGAGGAATTCTCGGAGTTGAAGTCCAAAGTCTTAAAGCTGTCAAGTTTGAACACCCCTGGTTTTTTTTTCTAAAGGGTTAGGGGTGCAAGGGTCTTGTAACTTGACAGCTTTAAGACTTGCGTGCTTCAAATGCCAGAGTTTCTGAGCCAACATTTTGGTTGCTAAGCAAGAGCGTTGTTAAGTGAGTTTCACCACATTTTACAAGTTGGCCACACCCACCTGGTCACATGGCTGCAAGCCACTCCCACCCAGTCACATGGCCAGCAAGCCACTCCCACAAAGAAGGCCACACCTACAGAAGAGGTTCTAAATTTTTTTTGAAACCC